AACTAGCACCTGAAATCAATATTTTTTTTAAATACTCGGAAGCATTCATAAGATCCTAATTTCTTAGCACCTTTACCTACTTTTGTATTCTTATACTCACGATCTCCTTTTTGTTTCTCATTGCTTATTCGAATTTGTACTTCTACATATGTGTAAATACGAATTTTCTGTCTTAATTGTTTGTGACAAAATTGCCTAATGTAACTTTTTATCTCAATTAATGCTGCGGAAAAAATAAATGTTTCGGGTTTTCTTCTTTTCTAGAATCACCTATACACACTTAGCATGCTATTCTCAAGAAATGAAATGCTGTTTTTTCGCCTTTTCCATGTACTGTTTCCTATCTTTAATTACACAGAGAGATTTGTTCGTATCGACATACTTTTTTTTGTTCTTAACTGTACACGTCTTATATCAACTTAATTTACTCTTTTTGCTCTACTTTTTTTTTTGGCTAGCACTGAAGCCTTTTGCAAATAAACAAACAAACAAAAAGTCGATTTTGCGATAATGATGGTTAAGGTTGTTATATTCTTGTTATTGTATGAGGAATATTTCAGTAGTTTAATGTGTTCTGTGATATATTTTAGCTGATGACTAGAAAAGTTAATATGCCTATGGGCATTCAAGAGGCAAATGCCTTGCATGCGCGAAATTTTGCGCAATGTGTCAGAATAAGTGATGGTGCTATCACCGAGGAATATCTTAGTCTGTTGATAATATATGTGCTTGAAATATTTTCTGAGCTGGTGATGCGGGTGTATCGAAGCGGGTGAGCAATCATTTCTTTGCACAAAATGAAAGTTCATCAAAGAGGATACAAACACACGTACCACAGTGGTACACATATATGTGGTACAACGTGTACATAATTCTAAAATCTCTGAAATCCTGAACTACTAATAGCCTTAGATATATATATATGTACGTTTTTTAGTGTATGCAATAGTTATGCTATCTGAGCAAGGCGTGTGTAATGTATAGGGCATAGTTCTGAAATCCTGAAATCCTAATAGCCTTAATATATATATATACAATGTGCTATAGTTATTATATCTGTTGAAGGCTCATATCGTAATATCGCTATATATACAGGATGCACGACTGGAGGAAGTAGAGTGTCTATTCATATAGTATATAGGCACTCCAGAGAGGTAAAATGGGGACTTCTTGGATTTCGTGGACTTGAATACCAATCACTAACTTGCGTAGATAATGGGAATAACAGGTGAGGCAAATTAAATTGCCGATCTTTGTCACCCATATTTACGTAGGATATCCTAAGTCAGGATCCGCGTATTTCGTGTGGCGATTCGCTGTATCACTGGACCCAGCTCAGTTCTCCGTGGACCCAACTAGAACTCGACGACCTCTACTAGACCCAATATTTATTTCTTAATTTTGACCGGATCAATGAGGAGAAAAACCCAAAATACTGCGAATCCAGACCTGAAAAAAACGTTTTTTGTCAATAATTTCCTTTATTTCCTATCGTGATTCGCTATTTGACAGAACCCAAGTAGAACTTTTCAAGCTTTACAAAATCCACCATTTCGTTTTTATTTTTCATCAGGTCATTATTGAGAAAAACGCTAATTAATATTCAACATGTTCATTGAATATATATGAAAGTGAAAACAATTGAACTTTTTTCTAAGCATAATAAAATGTCAAAATTTCGTCACGAAATTTCACTCTAGTAACAGAGTTATATGGTCGTGCCGGCAATTAAAACGCACTTCCTGTGAGAAAAATGCTACTGAAAGTTTTATCAACTTTTTAATCGAAATCGAACGAACGGAAAAGTATTCGGAGAGTGCTGATTCGATTCGTATTTTTCGACTCACCAGAAAGGTGTCAAAGAAATTATTCAAAGCTTCAGATTTGAGCTTATTATTATAATGAATAGGTATTTACCAGATTAGTTCGAATAACCAGTCTTTAAGGTTCGAAGGTGAAAAGATCACATTGGGTAAAGTGCGTTCGACCCAGAATGCGACACATTCGTATACGGTTCAACCGGTTATCACATTGTCCGGTCATCTTCTTGATCCTCTCTAAGGGTGTATTTCTGGAAGCAGCAGAAAGATGTCAAATAAATTATTATGGTCTCCTCTTATCTCATCCATCGTCCGTTTCTCAACTGAATACTTTGTTCTCTTATCTTTTTAATTTAATAGGACATGGCGTCCAAATTCACATGAAATTAAAGTTTAATTTACAAAATCTGCTTTAACTAATTGTTGTAAATTTTTATTTATGGATCTTATTCATCTTTTCCAAATTTTTTCCCAGTGAAAAGGGTTTCCAAAGGCTCAAATTGGCACATGCTTAATCGGCTCGATGAATTCTATTCAGCCATCTCAAAAAGTCGCGAGAAAAATTCTGCTCCGTATTAGAATTATCCGTAGCTTATTCAGGAAATACTACTCATTTATCTTTTTGTTTTGCAAAGATGTAATTATGCACATTTTATAGATTTCAGTACAGAAACTTACAGTCCCTCGACTCTGAGATTCCAAAAGCGAAATTAGTTAATTGAAGTGATTGCAGTTGTATTTAAATGGATTAAATCAGAAAAGATCTCGGGAATATGTCAGTTAAGCATTTCTGCATAAAAGATCTCGGAATAATGAATAGTCCCTCGACTTCGAGATTCCAAATCGCTAAGATCTCAAATCGAAAAAACTTCATGAGCTTCTATTCTTGCCTTAAAGTGGGCATAATAGTTGAAAGTTACTGTCAAAAGTTCAGCGCATCGAGAAGCAAAAATTTTTCGATGGAGACTGGTTTTCGTTATAACCATAGAAATGGATACTAGCAATGGCCGCCTGGAACAACGAAGAGTCCAGCATTTATTTCTAGCCATGATGATCTAACGAGATACTCATCATGGGTTTCAGGGACGGAGGAATGAATTTTGGGTTGGGAGTACTCATACCATTGTATGGACTTTTTGGGGGTGCTCAAATGATTTTTTGGTGAGATTCTGCTGAGAAAAAAGGGTTTTTCTGCTAAGTTTTCAATAGCTGGGAGTGTTCAAGCACACCCAGCAGCCCCTATTCCGTCGCCTATGATGGGTTTGGGAACACAATAAGTCAGGAAAAGATTTTTGAAAGAAATCACATGAGAGAAATGGAAGTCTTAGCGAGACATTATCGTCAGAGAAAACTCGGCTCATCGAGTTTCACTGAAAATTTAGTGATCGTCGCCGCCTTCTCATTATTTTATAAAAGCGCTTATGCATGTATGTTCATCGTTTTAGTTTTTCATTTTCTGTTCATTGCCACCGCAATACATTAGTCCCATTCACTGTCACATCACGAGATTTGATCCAGTAGAGTCACAGTGGTAGCCAGCGTTACTCTCGCTTACAGATCGGGCTTTAAACTTTATCGTGACAGGGAGAGTTTTTCTTCTTTCATTTTGCGTAAGATACTATGAGATTGCTACACAAACACAGCACACTTTTTTCGTTTTGCATTCATATTTTGGGACCGGAAAACATGAATCCGGATCCGTAGAAAAATATACTGAGGACTCGGACAAGGATCCGATCGGACCCGAAAACTTGCTAGAGAGTCTGTTATCTAAAATTTTAATATAAAAATCGATTGTTTCGCAAGCTCTAACGGCAACTGTGTTCCGGAACAAGCATTTTTCACTCAAAAAATATTCTCACACACCGAAAAATGCGAAAAAGCGAGAAAAACGAAAATGATTCTGAATCAGGTCCATGTAGAAGAAGACTCAGACCAGAACCGGACCATTATTTTTTTGGACCTTGACCCGCTGGCCTGGATCCGAGCCGGGATATTTTTTGGACTTGTCAGGCTCTAATTCCTGCTGCTATGTTTTTTTTACTTACACACTTTCTATCTATTCTGTTTCCCTTTGTTTGCAGTAGATATACTTCTCTATTCACTATAATTTACAGCTGTTCGTTTGTCATTCTAACACACGTGGCATAAATAATGTCGGTCCTATCCGTCTTTTTCCAGATCTTCTAGTAGTCATGGAGGCGGACATCAACCATCGAATACCAACTGAAATCTTAGAAAAAATCCTTGGCGATATTTTTCATTCTCGGCCACGTCCATCATTCTCCTCACTATTAAATGTTGCATTAACATGCAAGAAATGGTATAAAATTGTGTATAATGAACATTTTCTTAACAAATTTTATTTCAATTCAAACAGGAATCTACTGATCGACAACTATCGTCGTCGTTCAACATTTGATCCTATTAATCTTCGATCTCATCTATTGTCATCGACTATTTTAAAGAGTCGATGGAACAGTCTGACGTTCAGTTTTGTTGATGGACCCGACCTAACATGGCGTAAGATAATGCCGGATGATTCAAGCAATATTCTCCAAATACCCGTAGCTACAGGAAAAGACGACTATTTTCAGCTTGGTATGGGTTGGAACGGTGTGATAACAGTACGCTCACCGGGGGCACAATCAGAGGAAAACGTTTCCCTGGACCTTTCTTGAAAACCATTTTGCCAAAATCCTCTAAAAATCCTTTCAAAATCTTGAAAGTGTTTTTGTTGAATTCCACAGACTTTTTTATCTATAGAATCAAGTTTTCGTGAAATTCGAGTAAAAATTAACTAATTTCTAGAACAAAAAAGGCTCCAATTCTTAGGCAAAACATCCCAAATTTCAGTAAAAATAGAGAGTATTACTAATTACTGAAAATTATGGCTAATTAGTAATTAAACGGTACTCAGAGAAGCCATTCTAAATTTGTTTTTGCATGGAATTGTGTCTACGAACAATTCTCTAAAAGACTACACCAGAATCAACTGAAAGTGACATTCATATGAAAAACTAGGAAATTTTTAAAAAGTGCCTCTCAACCTAAAAGCGTCAATTAATTTTGAACTTGATTAATTAATAGCTCCGGCAATATTTGACCGACGACTTTTTTATTGCATACGCATACCATTGAAGGTATTCTTTAATCTGATCCAGAACTTTGTGCATGTATGTATTTCTCATTCTAGTCCCTTTTGGTGATTGATAGACTAGTTAGAGTTGTATCAGTATTATCAGCTGCGGGGTTGTCCGTTCGAGAACGTACAAAGTTTACATCGACTTTGTCCGAATTGTTCGAGAGTAACAGGACTAGTACAACTCGGCCTCCTGATGGCGAATATCACGTTTAAAAAGTTTAGAAACAACATCATGGTGGTCTTCTAGACCTATGGAAATCCCATTTCCCAGCAGAACAGTCCTTTTCTGGGCATTTTCATCATTTTTAGTGAAACACTTTCATGAGCCCCGGAAAAATGGTTCGATCGAGCTCAAATTTTTACCCTATCTCAGGTTCTAATTTTTTTTTCCGAAAAATGTGCTTTCCTTCTCCAGATATACCAAAAATGCCGAAAGTCAGTGAAAAAAACTGAAAAAATCTGACCTTTTTTGCGTGATTTTCAACATTTTTCGTATATCTCGAGAAGGAAAGCATATTTTACGAACCATATAGCCTTATAGAGCAAAGAATTCTGAGCAAAATAAGATATCTTCCGGCTGTCTATAACGCTTTTCTCGGAAAGCCCTTCAAAAGATCGAATCCACTAGACCTGTCCCAATACACAACCATCTGTTCAATTAAAAAATATCCAAATTATAAATATCCAAATGAATTGTTTGGACGAGAATTTAATCGAAAAGAAGACTTTTCTGGCCCTGTTCAGTCAGAAAATTTCGCTGATCCCGTTCATTGTTCCATCAAGACTTTTTTTCAAAGCAAATCAATAAAAAAACGCCACACCGAACAAAGAAATTTAGAAATTATCGGGTCGAAGTCCACATCGTTTTATCTTTTGTACTCGAGAAATCATTATAGGCAGAATAAATTGTGTAAGAATATTAGCGATTTTTCCCTCTTTTTTTAAGTTTTAGACGCAGACGACTCGCTCAAAATCTCGCTTAGAACCTTGAAAAATTGTTTTCTGTAGCTTTGACGACATGCTCTTTCATTTGGACACGTCAAGGAAATTTTTTGGTGAAAATGGTTTTTCGATTGAAAAACCAAGATCTTTAAAAAACGGGTCTTTAAGTCGAAAGCGGGCAAAAACCATTGTGATATTCGGAATCAGCACGTTCGATTACCTATTGTCAACTGAGTTTAAGCTCAAAAGCGAGGAGGCAGTTGGTGGCCTTCCGC